CTCCAAACTAACCATTAAAAAGCTACGGGTTTTAAAACTTGCAAAAAAGGCGGCCAGGAAAAATTACAACACTTCGACGTACCTCGCATCCCGGCCCAAAATAAAGTTTTCAAGATTCTGTACCCAACCCCACCCTGTACGCTCCCCCCATGTTTTCTCCCCTTTCTTGGATTTCCCCCCCCATCCCCCAACTGCGACATCCTGACAGAGTTGAGAAAAATACAAAACGCCTTTTTCTCCCCGCTTGGAAACCCCTCAGGATTTTTTCATTTCAGCAGAGCCTTCTACACCAGAAGATGGGCCGGTTTTTTTTTTGTTTTTTGGAAAAAGGCCAATATTTTCAAAAATACCACAATTGGCTCCACTCCGAAGGTAGAAAGCAGCAACTTCACTCTGGCTGTGCTCTTCTCCAGATCATCGCTACATCTGAAATCATTTATTCCCAGGATGACTCGAGTCTGGAACATGTTCATACTGCATAATGATATCTACGAAATGAAGTCAGTTGATCAAATAAAATTGCCGGCCCATAGATTACTCCAGCTTCATCCTGTTCCTTATTTGTATGTCTCATAACAATAAAAAGGACTTTTAAATGAGGTGATGTGGGTAACAGCTCTTAGCCTGTAAATAAAGTTAGGAATCCTTACTCTAACCTTGTTAAACCCTGTGTAAAAAAAAAAGAGAGGGAAAGAGACAGAGACAGAGACAGACACAGACACAAGGGTGTTGGAGATGAGGTCTACTAGTAACGGAGAAACAGGAAAATACAGAACTAGTTCTCCAACATCAGTGTCAGTGTCATTAATGACCCGACATTAATTAGTCTATGTAAATTTCAGCATCGCATGCAATTTTTTTTCATATGTTTTTCTCGCGCACAAGGAGTAAATAGACATATTGCAAAATCTGACGTACACAGGCCATTATCTGCTAAAATTTTGTTGGCTGTAAGACATAAAAATATGTGCAAATGTACACTCACGAATTAGCGTGTATATCGCTGAATCGATTGTTCGCGATTATTGCATAAAATACATACGTTATATATATATATATATATATATATATATATATATATATATATATATATATTTATAAATATATTATATATATATTATGTGAGAATCGCGAAATTATATAAATTATATATTATATATATATATTTATATATATATTATAATTTTTTAATATATATATTATTATATATATATATATATATTGTACATATATATTTATATATATATTTATATATATATTTTATATATTATATATTTTATATCATTAATATATATATTTATATAAAAATTTTATATTTTATATGTACATATTTATATATTTTATTTTATATATAATATTTAATATATATTTTATATATATAATATTATATATATATATATATATATATTTAACACATGGCCGATTCCCACCAAGGCAGGGGGCCGAAAAAGAAAAACTTTCCCCTTCTTCACCCCTCACTGTCTTGCCAAAAGGGTGCTTTCACTACATTTTTTAAATGCAACATTAACCCCCCCTCCTTCAAGGCAGGCATGTACTTCCCTCTCCAGGACTCAATCCCCTCCCGGGTTTCCCTGACCCCTTTCTAAAATTTACTTTGTCACACCAAAAAAGCACGTAAATATTAAAACCATTTGTCCCATTTACTCCTATCAAACCCTCACGCATGCCCGCTAGAAAAAGCCCCCGCACACAAAACCCCCTTTTCCCCCCTCCCCTCCAACCTTTCCTAGGCATCCCCTCCCCGCCTTTTCCTTCCGCTAAGACTGATAATTTTTAAGTCATTTGTTTTCGCCCCATTCTCTCTACATGCCGAACCCCTCAACAACCTTCCCAGCCCTTGGACAAAGTTTTGGTAACCCCGCCCCTGCTCCAAATTCCAAATACAAATTCTTGTTTTTCCACCAACATTGCCCCAGACAGACGCTCCATGCCTCCACTACCCGGGAGTCAAACCCAGCGGGAAAAAAAAAACGTTGAGCTTTGACCACCATCCTTAACAGTGGTGCATCCAGCCAAACTGGATGTTGTACCCACCATCGAAGGACATACGGTGATGTGGACACCTCTGAGCTAATTTCATTCTGCTCCCTGTTTGTGTACTAGCCCAACAAGCAGTGTATTATATTATTGTACCCACGAAACGAGTGACATTGATCAATAACATCACTGCACTAGCCAAGGAGTCGAACCCATGCTTGTTGAGCTAGTACACAAACAAGGAGTAGAATGAAATTAGCTCATAAGCATCCACACCACCGTGTCCTTCGATGGTGGGTACAACATCTAGCTTGGCTGGATGCGCCATTGTTAAGGATTGTGTGGTTTTGTGGTCTAAAGCGTCATGCGTTTTCTCTCACCATGAAGGGGGCCAAAACAGCATGGGTTCGACTCCTTGGCTAGTGCAGTGTTGCAAGATTCAACCAGATGGCGACTGTAAAGGTTGGAAGTAGGGTAGACAGTTTTAGCAGAAGTCCAGTTAATAGGATGACTGTGATCTCTGACATGACAGAAAAGAGCATTGTTGGTGTCGGCAAGCCTAACACTACTTTGTGCTCACTGAGTCTGTCGGAAAGAGATCGGCCAATTTCTCCAAAGTACTGAAGAGGACAAGAGGAACAAGAAATAGAGTAGACACCATGAGCATCTATAGAGGGAGAAGAGGTATGAACTAGATTAGTGCGAAGAGTGTTATACTCAACTTTCCTTGTATGAATCTTAGTCCTGGTTTTGTCTCTGTTAATGCCTTCCTTTCCGACTGCTTCAAACTTCAGAAAACCTTTGACTTAATTAACCTGATTCCATTTTCTTCTTCTCCCTCTTCCCCTTTACTCTTTCCTCTTTCTCCTTTAGGTTGTCTTTCTTTTGGCTTGGGTATTTTTTCCTTCATTATTCCCCCCCCCATCCTCTGTGTTATTGCTTCTACCTTCTGTGGGCCCCTAGCTCCCTTGTGGGCCCCTAGTTCCCTTGTGGGCCCCTAGCTCCCTTGTGGGCCCCTAGCTCCCTTGTGGGCCCCTAGCTCCCTTGTGGGCCCCTAGCTTCCTTGTGGTCCCCTAGCTCCCTTGTGGGCCCCTAGCTCCCTTGTGGGCCCCTAGCTCCCTTGTGGGCCCCTAGCTCCCTTGTGGGCCCCTAGCTCCCTTGTGGGCCACTAGCCCCCTTGTGGGCCCCTAGCTCCCTTGTGGGCCATTAGCTCCCTTGTGGGCCCCTAGCTCCCTTGTGGGCCACTAGCCCCCTTGTGGGTCCCTAGCTCCCCTGTGGGCCACTAGCTCCCTTGTGGGCCCCTAGCTCCCATGTGGGCCCCTAGCTCCCTTGTGGGCCACTAGCTCCCTTGCAGTGGGTACAATAATATAAAATACTGCTTGTTGGGCTAGTACACAAACAGGGAGTAAAATGAAATTAGCTCAGAGGCGTCCACACCACCGTATGTCCTTCGATGGTGGGTACAACACCCAGCTTGGCTGGATGCACTGTTGTTAAGGATTGTGTGGTCTAAAGCGTCATGCGTTTTCTCTCACAAAACAGCATGGGTTCTACTCCTTGGCTAGTGCAGACTCGTTTCGCGGGTACAATAATATATATATATATATATATATATTAATATATATATATATATATTATATATATATATATATATATATATATATATATATATATATATATATATGTCGTGCCGAATATGTAAAACTGGTCAGTTAGCAAGAACTCATTTAAAATTAAGTCCGTTCTAAAATTTTCTCTTATACGTTTAAAGATATATTTATTTCATTAATGTTAATGTAAAAATTTTTAATTTTGCACCAAAAGAATCTTAGAAAACTTACCTAACCTTATTATAATAAGAATAATTTATTTTAGCCAAACCAAACTAAATATATTTTAGATTTGTTTACAATAATTTAATACTAAACAAACACAGTGACATATATTTTTTTCGTTATGTTCAGAATGATTTTGGCGAAATTATTGCTTACACAAATTTTCACTTGTCCTATATGGCAAGATGAACGTTGCTATTTAAGCCAAGATCTCAAATTCTGCCTATTCGGCACGACATATATATATTATATATATATAATATATTATAATATATATATATATATATATATATATATATATATATATATATATATATATATCAAACACGTTCACGCATGCCTGCTGGAAGTCCAAGCCCCTCGCACACAAAACCTCCTTTCCACCTCCCTCAAACCTTTCCTAGGCCGACCCCTACCCGCCTTCCTTCCACTACAGGACTGATACACTCTTGAAGCGAAACAGAATGACTTCAAGAGTGTATCAGTCTGTAGTGGAAGGAAGGCGGGGTAGGGGTCGGCTAGGAAAGGTTGGAGGGAGGGGTAAAGGAGGTTTTGTGTGCGAGGGGCTGGACTTCCAGCAGGCATGCGTTGAGCGTGTTTGATAGGAGTGAATGGAGACAAATGGTTTTTAATACTTGACGTGCTGTTGGAGTGTGAGCAAGTAACATTTATGAAGGGGTTCAGGGAAACCGGCAGGCCGGACTTGAGTCCTGGAGATGGGAAGTACAGTGCCTGCACTCTGAAGGAGGGGTGTTAATGTTGCAGTTTAAAAACTGTAGTGTAAAGCACCCTTCTGGCAAGACAGTGATGGAGTGAATGATGGTGAAAGTTTTTCTTTTTCGGGCCACCATGCCTTGGTGGGAATCGGCCAGTGTGATAATAAAAAAAAAAATATATATATATATATATTATACATAATATAATATGCCTATTTATACATTTATTAAAGACGAGGTGGAAGGACAAGTTGAATTTTCAAAGGGCTTCAGGATGTAAGCTAAATATTTTTCCTCCATGCCTTCTCATCTGCTACTCCGAAGCTATGGGTCCCCACACTTCGCATATATTGATGGGTAGTAATAGCATCCGGGAGAGGGAATAAGGCGCCCTATAGTAAGCAAATAAGTTGACGAGACACGTTCTTTAACCCGTTGTATACTGTTACAGAACCCGCTTGTGCGGTACACGCCACTGGACCTGGCGCTGTATGTGTACAAGACGGGAGATGAGGACGGAGTCACTCTGGCTATCCAGGAGCTGATCGTTCAAGGTTTGGTGAGTACTTCGTGTGAGTACGTGTGTTGTGTGCAAAGCAGGAGTATGATTTTGTAGGCCCCTGGGCTATAGGTACTGTGAGGCCTCTGGGCTATAGGTACTGTGAGGACCCTGGGCTATAGGTACTGCGAGGCCCCTGGGCTATAGGTATTGTGAGGCCTCTGGGCTATAGGTACTGTGAGGCCCCTGGGTTATAGGTACTGTGAGGCCCCTGGGCTATAGGTACTGTGAGGCCCCAGCGATATTTGCAAAAGGAAAAAAGTTAAAGAAATATTAAATTTAATTTTACAACGCTAACCACAATTCAAATTTAATTTTTTTTTTTCGTAATTTCTTGGGAACAAATTTCTCCAAAACATCAGTAAATTGTAAGGTGTTGAGAACATCTTTTTCAATTGGATGAGACCTAGTTTGTTTAGTCGTTCTTGTGCCATTGTCTGTGTACATTGCTTAGATGTTTCCCAAACAGATAAACAATAGAAACCATACCCTCGGCCGGGATTGAACCCGCGGTCATAGAGTCTCAAAACGCCAGCCCGTCGCGTTAGCCACTAGACCAGCTAGCCACAATAAGATTCGTCCAACTACGTATATTTCTACACCATAGGAAGGTTAGCACAGGCACCACTGTGACCACAAATGCAAGTTTTTACAGACGAATCTCCAGCTAGCGTGGCCGTGACGAACTCTAGCTCAAGTCCCTTCACTGCCGTCAACATGACTCAAGAAATCGTAATGACACGATTGCAAACAAACCATACCCCCGGCCGGGATTGAACCCGCGGTCATAGAGTCTCAAAACTCCAGCCCGTCGCGTTAGCCACTAGACCAGCTAGCCACAATAAGATTCATCCAACTAGGTATATTTCTACACCATAGGAAAGTTAGCACAGGCACCTCTGTGTCATTACGATTTCTTAAGTCAGATAAACAATAGATTAAAACATCTCATTGGTCAAAAGAGAGGCATATACTGGCGTATAAAAAGAGGGGAAGGGCAGTTAAGAAATCAATATATATTTAATAATGGTCTGCTGCAGTGTTCCTTCTTTCTTATGTTCTTATGTTCTCATGTTTTATCTTGGAGAAATTTCTCTCCAGTCGAATTAGTTATCTTTAAACAGAAATAAATCCGTAGTGCCATTTTAATATTAGGGAATGATGTTAATTCATTGCTTACTACAAGGGTGTAGACATTAGAAGCTTGTAGTATCTCATGCTTGTACCTGAATTAATCAAATTGCCCAATAAGGTTTTTAAAATGAAGAATTTCTGGCATAAATCCTGGTATAAATCTTCTGAAACTTGGCTGCTGCTGAAATGTCCTCACCATTCATTGTTGGAAATTCGACAAGAAATCCAAACATTGAATGAACAATTTTTGTATGATTCAATAGGATGAGAAAGAGCTAAGTGTAACTTGGCTATGATGGGTAGATATGTTTCCACCTTCAACCTCTGTCTTCCTGGTAAAGCAATACTTTAAGCATTACCATCATTGTTTCGTTTTCTTTTCCAGTGCTCTCGTTTTTGTATGTCAGAGTATTCCTTATTTTCTGCTTTGACTTTTGCTTTATTTTCAAACGTATCAAACTGATCCCGCTCCGATATCAAAAAATTCAGTAGATATTTAAGAAGTTTAAGAGCTAATTGAAACTCCAGTTTTTATGTTGAAGTTATTTTCGGACTAGAATGAACCTGTCTAGTATGACAGCCCAGAAGTCTGCCAAAAAAACTGTTTCCAATTCTGATAGCTGCTTGAGTATATTACTTGCCTCATAACTCTTAAATCTCTATTAAAATTTAATCACAACAGTCAACAGTTCATCAAATACGTCGTGTAATAAAGTACTGTAAGTGTAAACTTACAGCAGTAACTGTGAACACTTTCATTTAATCTCTAGAGGTCCTCCAGCTGGCGGAGGCCCCCGGGTTGCAGCCTCTAAAGCCCGTGCCTTAATTAATCCGGCCCTGGTTGTTTGCTGGGAGTTGTCTGCAGGGTGTAATATGTTGTTTGCAGTGAGTTGTGTCTGTTGTGTGTAGTTTTGAAAAGAATGTTGTGTGAAGGATTTTATGTATGGTGGTTGTGTGTATGGTATAGTACGTAGTGTGGCGTGTATAGGCTGTTGGGAATAGGGTGATGGGTGTAGTGTGTTGTATGTAGTGTGTTGTGTATAAGGTGTTGTATGTAGGGTGTTGTGTATGTGGGTTTGGTGTAGGGTGTTTGTGTGTAGGATTTTTATGTACTAGGATTTGCGGGTTGGGTGTTGTGTTTATGGAGTAGTATATTGTGCGTTGTGTGGAGTGTTGTAAGTATAATGTTTAGGGGGGTGTTGTGTGTAGGGTGTTCTGTGTAGAGTGTTGTATGCAAGGTGTTGTGTGTAGTATGCTGTATGTAGCATGCTGTGTGGTTACGTGTGGGGTTTGTGTGTAGTTTGCTGTGTGTTTGTGTGTAGGGTGTTGTGTGCAGGGTGTTGTGTGACGGGTATTGAGTTAAGGGTGTTGTGTGATGGAACTGGTGTGTAAGGTTTTGTGTAGTGTGTTGTATGTATTGTGTTGTTTGTCTTGTCTTGTGTGTAGGGTGTTACCTGGAGTCTACCTGGAGGTCGTTCTGAGGGTCAAAGCCCCCACGTCCTAGTTCTTGACCAGGCCTCTCGTCACAGGCGCCCAATCTGACACCTCTCCGCGTACCATTACTCGCTGTTGTCTTCTTAACAGCTATTCCCTGATCCATTGCAGTGCCTTCCCTGTTATCCCTGCCTGATCCTCCAGGTTTTGTACTAATCTCCTGTGTGGAACTGTGTCAAACGCCTTCTTAAGTCCAAGAAAAATTAAATTTTACCCACCCCTCTCTTTCTTGTTTTACTGCTTTCCCCTACCATAGAACTCCACGGTTTGGACACAGGGTTTTTCCCCTCCCTGAAACCGTGCTGGCTGCATTATCACTCGTTCCTTCTAGGGCCCACCCCCTCTCCTCCTGAAATCATCTCCATGGCTTTCATACAAAAAGTCAGTGACACGGGCTATAGTTTAGGTTTTCGTTCTGTCTCCTTTTTCAAAAATTGGGACTACATTTGCTGTCCTTTCCCCACCCCAGGTAGTCCCTCCTGGTTCATAGATGGTTGAAAATTGTTGTTAATGATCACATAGGCCTTGCTTCCCCCTCTCAGGGCCCCTGGTAGGTATCGTTTGGGGTGGTGTACTCACCTTTTGACTCACCAAAATTTTGGGGGCAGGGGGCAGACTCCTCCTGGCCCCGCCCCCTTCACTGACGTACTGGGGTCCCTTCCCCCTGCTTCCTGAGCTTTGTCATACCTCTTCTTAAAACTATGTATGGGTTCCTGCCCCACTACTTCACTTTTTAGCATTCCCCTTGCTGAAACTCTATGCGAAGAAATACTTCCTAACGTCCCTGTGACTCGCGAACTTCAGCTTCCCGTTGTGACCCCCCTTTCCCCTTTTCCCCTCTCTGGGAAAATCCATCTCTGTCCCCCCTTGTCTATTCCCCCCATATCGTAATCTTATCATGTCTCCCCTACCCCTGTCCTCCAGTGTCGTCATCCCATTTTTCCCTTTAAACCCTTTCCTCGTACACATTCCCTTGACCGGGATAGCCTTTTTGCAAAACCCTTTTTATTTTTCCCAAATTCTTGACGTCTTGACCAGTGTGGTTCCAGACTGGGGCTGCATACTCCAGTATGGGCCTAACATACACAGTGTACAGTGTCTTGAACGATTCCTTATTAAGGTATCGGAACGCTATTCTCGGGTTTGCCAGGCGCCCGTATGCTGCAGCGGTTATTTGGTTGATGTGTGCCTCCGGTGATGTGCTCGGTGTTATGGTCACCCCAAGGTCTTTCTCCCTGAGTGAGGTCTATAGTCTTTGTCCACCTAGCCTATACTCTGTCTGTGGTCTTCTTTGCCCCTCCCCAATCTTCATGACTTTGCATTTGGCTGGATTGAATTCGAGAAGCCAGTTGCTGGACCACATGTCCAGCCTGTCCAGGTCTCTTTGCAGTCCTGCCTCATCCTCGTGTGTGCGTGTGTGTGTGCGTGCGTGTGTGTGTGTGTGTGTGTGTTTGTGTGTGTGTGTGTGTGTGTTTGTGTCTGTATGTGTACTCACCTAGTTCACCTAGTTGAGGTTGCAGGGGTCGAATCCAAGCTCCTGGCCCCGCCTCTTCACTGGTCTCTACTAAGTCACTCTCCCTGAACCGTGAGCTTTATCATACCTCTGCTTAAATCTATGAATGCATCCTGCCTCCTCTACATCGCTTCCCAAACTATTCCACTTCCTGACTACTCTGTAGCTGAAGAAATACTTCCTAACATCCCTGTGATTCATCTGTGTCTTCAACTTCCAACTGTGTCCCCTTGTTACTGTGTCCCATCTCTGGAACATCCTGTCTTTGTCCACCCTGTCAATTCCTCTCAGTATTTTGTATGTCGTTATCATGTCCCTCCTATCTCTCCTGTCCTCCAGTGTCGTCAGGTTGATTTCCCTTAACTTCTCCTCGTAGGACATATCTCTTAGCTCCGGAACTAGTCTGGTTGCAAACCTTTGCACTTTCTCTAGTTTCTTTACATGCTTGGCTAGGTGTGGGTTCCAGACTGGTGCCGCATACTCCAATATGGGCCTAACGTACACGGTGTACAGGGTCCTAAACGATTCCTTATTAAGATGTCGGAATGCTGTTCTGAGGTTTGCTAGGCGCCCATATACTGCAGCAGTTATTTGGCTGATGTGCGCTTCAGGAGATGTGCCTGATGTTATACTCACCCCAAGATCATTTTCCTTGAGTGAGGTTTGTAGTCTCTGGCCCCCTAGACTGTATTCCGTCTGCGGTTTTATTTGCCCTTCCCCAATCTTCATGACTTTGCACTTGGTGGGGTTGAACTCCAGGAGCCAATTGCTGGACCAAGTCTGCAGCCTGTCCAGATCCCTTTGTATTTCTGCCTGGTCTTCGATCGAATGAATTCTTCTCATCAACTTCACGTCATCT